TTGGACCTCATTCACAGCACTGTGTAGAGACAAATATGTAGATAGGTGCTTAAACCATGCAAATGCTTTAAACACCAGTCCACAAAAAAAATTCAATTTTGTCCCATGAAGTTGTTCTTACTCTGCACAGAAATGTGCAACTCCCATTGGTTTGTGTATGTGCAAATGATCAAAATGTAAACACACATGCATTGTACAAATAGTAATTCATATAGTGCCAAACGAGGGGGAAAAAAAGTTGCCTCAAGGCACTTTTTACTCTAAGGTAAAGATCCTAGAGTGTTCAACAATCAAATAACACCCTATGAACAAGCACATTGTGACAGTGAGAAGGAAGAATTTCCTTTTAGCAGGAAGAAACCTCCAGCAGAATGAAGGACCGCAGAAGGCAGTCCAGAATAAATCTGTTTCATTATCCTAAACAAAACTTTAAGAACAACATGCACACTCGTTTTGTTTGCAAATGACAAACACTTTTGCACACATATTAGTGAATTTGGCCCCTTAGCATGTTGGTTGTGAGTGTGACCTCTATTTGTCTTACATTTTTGAAATTACCTTAACTGAAAAATCACCACCAACTGGTGAGCTTTGAAGCTTTAGACAACAAATGAATGTAAAAATACCCCTGCCAATGATCTGGATTAAATTCAGCTGAATCAGTTGTACATACACATGCTCTGAGGGCAGTTGCAAATTTGTTTTGCGTATTCAGCATATACCTGTAATTCTCTGGCAAACTGTCCGGTGTGTACCCTGCCTCTTACCCTTTGACAGCTGGGATAAGTGGATAAGCTGTTAACAAAATAAATAGACCATATTATTCAGTCCAAGCTTGATTTCCAGCGAACGAGCTAAAATAATGTACCCTACAGTCTGGAACAACAGTAAGTAAGGTAAAGACGGATGGTTTTCATTAAATGCATTTATATGATAGAGTTCACTAAACACTTAAAGTAAATATTCAGGTCATTTAAATGCTGTTTTTGCTCTGTGTTAGCTATATATGTAAATGCACAACTGTACATGCTGGGAATACCAGATTAAAATAAAATAGACTAAACAAAAAAAAAAAAGCTATAACCGCAAGGGTAAAGGTCATGCCAACCAATTCTTAAAATTTTGCAATAAAAATGGTAACATGTTAACATTTAGCCTTTCACCACTGCTAATTTAAGAGATAAAGATGCAATTTGCAAGCTAGTTTTTAATTACATTAAATACATTAGTATTAGCTCAGGTAGACCAACTAAAATATACACTAGATCACCAGTGATTCATTCCTTGGAAACTTTGATAATTACAACTAAGTTTCAAGTAAATATTTTAATTTGTGAAAGTGAAATGGAAAATTGTCCCTCACAGCAGTGCTCAGTGTGCCTCGCTTTGAGATAAGACTTGTAACCATCCTGAGCAGCTTTTGTGCAGTCATTGTTGATAAATGAATTTAATGTCTTTATAGGACACCAGGCTGAATGTGACATGATGACATCTTTTGCTGAAGGTCCCGGCATTGTGAGCGCATCCACTGATTGCATTGTGTATGTGAAAAACGCTCTGCCTGTTACTAACAATGCTATTTTATTTGGCCTAATGAGTTGAAACTGCAGTGTCTTCATTAGTGCGCATAATGTGACACTCTTCTGTACTGCAGGGTGGTACTGCAGATGTACTATGTAGTTTAGTCACATAGACAAATCTTGCCTGCAGCTCTGAGGTGGAGATCAAGACATTTAGATTTTTTTTATCCAGCATGTGTGATAATTACCTGAATGAAAACCAGCCACCAGTTGGCTGGTTGGCAGACTGAGCTGCCACACTCCCCCTCCTCAGTTTTTCTCTCCATGTTGACGACCAATTGGCTCAGTTCTGTTCTCACACTTCCTAACCACCTGTCCTGCTCAGTCAGAGCGGCAGCATGGATCAACTTTTGTTGGCCGGAAGCTTTGAGCATGGAATACAGGAGTGAGGAAGGCAAAGCCCTGACCAAAGAGATTATACCCGGATATTATCACAGGCACCTGAAAATAGCAAGCCGGAGTGGTCAGAAAGCTTGCAGTGACCTGGCAAGGTTTTACAGGTTTGTGTTGGCATCTGCAGAGATGCAGTGGGACATCAGCAGAAACAATGCCAGCTGGAAACTCGCTATCGTCAATACATAGTACGACCTAAACGGCCTGCTTTGTGCATCGTTTTCATGTGATGATTCTCATAATCTGCTAAAAGCCGAATGTTCTCACATGGACATGTTCAGTGTGTCTTTTCCAAATAGAGAAAGCATGTCATGTCTGGACAGATCTACATTTATCCATCTTTAATCCATATTTTCTGTTACGCCATCCACCTACCATCTATCCATCCATCCTGTCCATATTTGTTCTCAGTAGAGGTTCTTCTATCCTAGTGTTTTGTCAGAGGTCTGATGGTAGAGTCGCATATGTTGCTCTCAGCCTGAGCAGGTGGCCAACTGTTGGCGGAGAAAACACTCAAATCACTGCTAACAGTTATGCATATGGTAAAGGCCTTCCATCCTCGACACCGTCCATCATTCATTCATTCCATGACCATTCATTCATCCATTCAAATAAACAGATTCCTGTTAGATACTTAAAGAAACAAAAAGTTGACTATGGAAAGAAAACACTCCTCAATAAGTATTGTGTACTTGTGTTTGTACAAATTACAGTAAATTAATATGCTCTGTACCACTTTTACTTTTAAACATTATCAAGAACTATGTGCCAAATGTCAACTTTTAGGGTAGATTTACTAATCACATTCCTCTCAAGGTTATTATAGTTAACTAAAACAAAACTAATAGCTAAAGCTAGATATAAAAAAACAAAAAAAACAAACTCAAAAACATTTTAGTTAAATAAAATACAAATTTAAAGGAACTCAAACGATTTTGTAAACCTATAAAACAGATTAAAATAGAATAAAAATCGGAGCAGAAATATCCGTTGTTTAAGTATCAACGTGTCTTTTATCCTGTCTTCCTTCTCTCAGCCCAACCAGTCGCAGCAGATGGCCACGCCCCTCCCTGAGCCTGGTTCTGCTGGAGGTTTCTTCCTGTTAAAAGGGAGTTTTTCCTTCCCACTATCGCCAAAGTGCTTGCTCATAGGGGGTCATATGATTGTTGGATTTTTCTTTGTATCTATTATTGTAGGATCTACTGTATAATATAAAGCCCCTTGAGACGACTGTTGTCGTGATTTGGTGCTGAATAAATAAAACTGAATTGAATTGTTAGTTTGTATCGAAATTGTATCAAAACTTGCCTGATGAGTTTTTGATGGACATGTTCATTCAGACTTTGGAGGTCTACAAGACTGAGACACCACTGCTTTTAATAATTTCCTTTTTTATTGTAATACCTGTACGAATTTTTCAAATTCTCCCATTTACTGAAAACAATAAAGCTACCACAAAAGACTAAGCTAAAATGAAATATTAAGAAAAACAAACTAAACTGAAACAAGAAAGGACATTAGAAACTAAACTTAATTAAAAGCAAAGATCGCTATTGGAACTTAGCTTGCTATAACATAAAGCAGCTGCAATATAAATTGCAGTAGCTTAACTTCCACTTTAAATGATATTTATAGTATGACATCCTTTAATGAGGAACAGATTGGTGGTAGTTAATAGTGCGGTGGTTGAAAGGCTTTCTAGCAGGTGTCCAGAGGATATACAGCAGCTAAGCTCAGAGCTAGTTCTATAAAGCTTCTCTTGCTCAGAATCACTGTCTTTTAATTAACCAATCCTCCTTAGAGACATGGGGAGCGTGGGAAGTGTGCGTCACACATGCACACTTAACACACAGGCTAAAATGAGTGTGTGCTGAAAAAAAATCTATCCAGATTTACTTCTCTTATAATCTTTTGGCTGGAAACCAAAAAAGAAAAAAGAAAAAAAAAACTCCAAAAACATGCAGCATCTACCTGGATTGAGGCCAAAACCAAACCTTTTGACTTCACAACAAATGAGCAAATGCAGTAAACCGTATCACCCACTGAGACGTCCAGCAAGCCAATCAGACGGTCAGTCTTGTATTTCTTCCTTGTTCATTTCCACTAAGGCAAGGTGCCTTTGAGCCTGAATGTATTAGGCAGGATGATCACCTTTCTCTGCCAAACCTTCAGGCTTTGTTGAGAAGATGAAGACAGTTTACAGAATGGAGATAAAGGCCGGAGCTAAATGCTTTGACTGAATGTTATCTTTGTTGCTCCATTTCCACGTATCATCTGATGTTTACCAAATGAAAAATGACGCCATAAAACTGTGATTACTTAAAAATAAGCCACACCAAACTTTGCCTGGAAAACAGATCATTCTCATCATTTGACTTGTGAGCTGAGTGCTTGTGTATGTTCTAGGAATAATAACGCCACGCGTAGCACAGCTAACCTAACAGATCAGATTAGTATCTGTGAAATCACAGCTGATTAGGATTTGCGTGTGTGTGTGTGCGTGTGTGTGTCCTAATGCACTCTGGAACATCTAAATTAATTCCCTATGCTTTATCCTCTAAAAACATAAGTGACCTACTTTAGACATTATTACTATTTTCCACAGTTGCAGTTTTAATCCCTTTGGATAAATGTGTGAGAGACAGAGGGGTAAAAAAGAGAAGGTGTGTGTGTGTGTGTGTGTGTGTGTGTGTGTGTGTGTGTGTGTGTGTGTGTGTGTTTTGCAGAGAGTGAGGGAGGAACTTTTATTTTTTTTCCCCAGTGACGAGCAAAGCAGTTAAAATCTCCTGGCATCTGGAAAGTTGTGATGGCATTATGAGGACTAATGATCTGAGGATTCCAGCTGTGTGTGCTCACAAGTGTGTGTTTGTGCATGGACGGGAATGTGTTACCATAAAAGTAATTGTCTAGCTTGTGGGACTGATGAGTCAAAGACTGCTCACTATTGTGCTGTTGTCCAGAACTCCTAATTAAACTCTATTCTTTCTTTTTCTTTCCCCATTTCCTTCTCCATCACTCTGTTTCCAGCAGCTGAGGGAGGTCATCATGAGTCAATGAGGCAGGCTGACTTGCTTCTGGACCCCGCAGTGACTTCCAACCTCTCGGCCACCCCTGGGATTGGAGACAAAGCTGGGGCTAACAACAAGGATACAATGGATGGGCCTCACACTGGTCCTGATGCTGGGTCTGAAGCTTGGCCTGAGGCAAAAGTGTTTGCTGAAGCCAGAACAGCAGTTTGGACAGAAACAGAAGCAGGAGTGCGTGCTGAAGCAGGTGGCAAAGTCTTTACCGAGACTGGGATTATGACAGGAACTGGTGCTTGGGCTGAAGTCGGAGCAGAATGGAGGCCCGTAGACACAGAAGGGGAAGACCTGCCGAGCATGCCTGGGGACACAGCTCCCTGGCTGGGGCAGCGGAGGCTACAGACAGATGGAGAGGAAAGAAGAGAGCAGGCAGCTTTCTCATCTGTCCTAACCATGCTGGCAGAGACAGCAGAGCTGCAGGCTCCAGTGGTTGGAAAACCTTTAGGGCTGCTGTCTAAAGCTGCTTGGACCAAAAGCTCCTCTTCATCATCGGCCAAAGCCACCTCCTCCTCTACGACAAAAGCATCCTCTTTGCCTTCTTCCTCCACATCCTCCTCCTCTCCAGCTAGTACACTACAAGACAGTCACACAGCAGGATCACAGAATATATCTGTGCTTGTTGTCAACACTAACTACTCCAACAGCAACAGTAGCCCCACCATTGGTATGTAATATTTCTGCCATTTGAATATGTTTCACATTTTTACAATTACGTGTTAGCAACCATAACTAGACACTGCTGACTAAAAAATAGTTTCTTCCTAAAAAGGAAAAACAAGAGAAACAGTGTAAGGAGTTGATGAAATTGTGTGTTCATCAGCATGAGCATTTTTCACTAATTATCTTGGTAAGTAGTGGTTAGACTTCAAGTACAACAGGGAGCAATGCAATTTTGAGGAAACATAACTGAGATGAACTGTACTGTCTTCATCTTCGCTTTCGTCATTTCTCCTACAAATATAATACATACAGTTAAAAAATAACTTTAGTTTAAATATATAAAAAATGTTTTTTTCAGTAAGCATTGATTTGCATACACATCATGATATAAGCTAAAATACATTTAGTTTTTTTTCCCATTAAATTAATCGGTTCTAAGATTTTTGAATTAGCATTAAGTGGCTAACTAGTTATAGCTAATTAGCCTGCTAGCTTAGCTTTCATCTAAGATCCACTGCTGTTAACAAGAAATCTGGGCCTGTTTTTGCTCCAAACACTGGTTCATGGGTTACATGCAATGCAACAGTGTCCTGTATACAAAGTATAATTCATCTGCTGTGGTTCATGCTACATAATGAAAAATGCTAGTTTGGGTGGATGTTTCATACTATAGCCTGACCCTCAGGATTCTGGTATCACTTCAGTGTAGTTAAAAGAATGAAATGAAACAACCCATGCAGTCTATATAGTCTGCTTAGAGAGGCAGGAAGCATACTATTTATACTAGCATAACAAAGCTGTTTGACCCTCTGACTCCGGCCAAATTTTAAACTAACATAAAATAGGATCACACTGTTACCCACCCACTAGGGTTGCCAACTCCCTGAAAAATAAATAAGGGACACCTCGTGGCCAGGGCCGGGCAACCCAGTTGTCTTCACCCTTCCCAGTGTGGTAGCTCTTTTTTTTGTGTGTGAAATTATTTTTTTAACCATTTGACTTGAAGTTGATTTAAGTAGATGCATATTCTATTCTTTGTGATATGAACACATGTGAAA